ATGTGGCCTGTTTATTTTTTAGATTTTCAAGTGTTTATAGTACTACTCGATCTACGCTATTTTTTGAATTTTAAATTTCATAGTCAAAGTTGAATATGGATTTTCAAGCTATTATAAGGTTTTTGACACCGAAACTCCATCTTCTGGTAAACTTTAAAGGTATATCTAATTTATATAGTATAAGATGGGCACTTTATGTAAACCATACCCTTATATATTATTAATTTTAGAAAAATTATCATAAATATACTTTAATTTTTGTATATTTAGAAAAAAAATCTTTGACTTTTATAAACCTTGCCCACACCATTTTTCTTCAATTTTGGCTCTTTTTTTTACCAAAATAACCTTAATGGAATCGTATTAACGTGAAGCACAATTAGAGTACTTAAAGTACCCTAAAAACTAAAATGTTATACAGCATATCGTAGAAGCATTTTAAGTACTAACCCATGCTTTACGACATTTTATGTACCGAAAAAACTAATAGTATTTTAATTACCGTAAACTTAATTCATATTATGCCGTAAACCTTTTTCTAATGTTTATATTTATCTCTTTCATCATGTTTATATTTATCTCTTACATCTCTCTAATTTTTTTTTTGTTTATTCCTTCTTTCTCTATTTAATTTTTTTTAATAATTGTCTCTTCTTTTTTTCTCTCATTCTTTTTAATATTTATCTCTTCTTTCTCTCTAATTCTTTTATATCTTTTCTTTATCTCTTTAACTCTCTTTTTCTCTCCAAGGAGATTTGTATAACAACCTGTACGTACGTTACCATCCCCTATGAAAATTAGAAGGAGTCAGATTGGTTTCGTGTTTGTTGAGTTGATGAAGTAAGTAGAGAGAGAAAGATAGTTAGTGAGAGAAAAGATTTAGAAAGAGAAATAAAAGATAAATATTAAAAAGAATTAGAGAGAGAAACAAGAGATAAACATAAAAAAAGTTAGAAAGATAAAAGAGATAAATATAAAAATGAAAAAATAGTATAACATGGGTTAGCTTTTACGATACTTAAAATGCGGTATAATCTTGGTTATTTTTGTAATACTTAAAATGCTGTATAATATGGATTAATTTTTATGGTAATTAAAGTACCGTAATTGGCTTCACCGCAATACGACTACCGTAAATGTGATTTTGGTAAAAAAAACACTCAAAATTGAAGAAAATAGTGTGGGCGAGATAAATTGAGGTTTTATTTTTTAAATAGATAAAAATTAAGGTATATTTGTGATAATTTCTCTTAATTTTATATTTACTTAAAATTAAGACAAAAATTAAGGTATATTTGTACTAATATCTCTTAATTTTATATTTACTTTTGGGAGTAAATTTTGAGAAAAAGTAAAATATCTTATTACATAGGCCCTTAGGTTTACAATATTTTGGTAAATAGAAATAATCGTCATCAAAGGGAATGTACGATCATAACCTCTTATATTTATTTCCGTTTAAAAAACTCTCATTTTTAACACGTTCTTTTGTCACTTCAAGTGGGTGCAATAAGTATTCATATGCCCCATTTGCACCAACCATCATTTTCTGTGTTTAGTGTACACTAATTACTCTTCATTCCATACACCACAGGAAATGATACGGTCATGGATGCCATCCACCATTCAAGCTATTGATGGGCCGTGATGGTTATAGAGGGGACCAACCTTTCGGGCTTTTGGCATTCATCACCGTCCAATTATTCATGGACAGTGATGCCACATAATCATAGATCTTATATGCTCATATAGACCAGGTCACATCTCATGGGTTATAAGATGATATAAAATAAAGAAGGCAGGAAACAGATACTTCCATATCTAAAATCATAATTCCAAATAACCCCCGATATTTATTAAAAACCCATAAAGCCCCTTTGAGTTAAAAGATTAGAGAGTTTAATCTCCCTCCTTACTTGTTTACGTACTTGTAAGCTTCAAGAGAAGAGAGATATGAAGATTCAAGGGAAGTTGTGAGAGAAAGATTAAGGAAAGAAAGAAGTTCTTTGGGGAAGAAACGAGATGGAAAGAGGGAGATTTTCTAAGGTTTCAATGAATGGGTACACTGGAAAAAAAAAAAAAAAAAAAAAGTAAATTTGAATAATGAAAAATGTATATCGGGTTTAAACGTTATAAAAGATTAATTTTAATCAATATTTAGTCATGGTATTATAATTAATGTATATCGGGGTTAAACGATATAAAAGATTAATTTTAATCAATATTTAGTCATGGTATTATAATTATTTACTTATTTTTCTCTTTCTTTCTTCGGGTGAGTCACTAGAGAGAGGGCGTTTACCTTAGTAGGAGTTTAGCCTAAAATATACCATTACAAATCGTCAAGCGCCGACCAATTAAGCATGAGCTCCTTTCCTTCATTTCTCTCTTTCACGTTTCAAAGAGAGAGATTCATGCTAATCTAAACTCTTTCTCTCTAAGCGTGCTTTAGGTTTAAAACTTCTAAATGGACCTGGTTTCTATCCGGCCAAACCTGTATATGTAGAAATGAAGGCTTATTAATAAAATTATTTTTGAGATGGAGTTTTGGACTTAAATTTTAAGGACATGTAATCTTTAACATGGAGATCACGAATATAAAAAATAAAAAAATTTAAAAATAGATATAATAATTATAATAAAAAAACATTTGGGCCATTAGTTTCCATTATTTTTAAATGGAACATCTACGTGCATCCATCTTTAAGATGGATGCTTTACACTTTTTAGGCCGTACATGTAGTCATGCGGTCCAGCCTGCATGAAACAATTTTCCTTTTTAAATAAAGGAGCAGGCTCTAAACAATCAAATTAAAACCTACCTTCAAATAGTATCGAGAAATGGGGTTTCAATACTGAAAATCTTTGTGATAATCTTAAAATATATTTTTATCTTTATTTATAAAGTTTAAATTTTAAAAAATAATATATATCAACAAATCCACAAAAACTTGAAAATCATAAGTATTGACGATCCAAAAATGCATTATAAAATACACTATTTTTAAAACTTAAAATCCATTTTTTTCTCATACCCTTGCATTTTGATGTCACGGTGATCAATTTGAAGATATTTGGATATCAAAACAATCCTTTCTAGCGAAATTTTTGATGTAGGCTCTAATTTGATTGTTTAGAGCCTAGGCTATGTACAAACCTCACCCTTTTAATTATAATATGGATTTAATCATGGGTATTATAGTCATTCTTCCTCGTTGAAACCGAGAGATCCAATTTTTAATCGGTATTTAATCAGGGCTATTATGGTCATTTTTCTCTGAACCGGTGTTCAAGTCTCTTCTCTGTTTCTCTGAAGTCTTCTCTCTCTCTCTCCCTCCCTCCCTCCCTCCCTCCCGCAAGCACCTGCTTTAAAGTCTGGACTTCATCTCACCTCAAAGCGCCCCTTAATGTCCCTTTAATTGCAGGGTACGTTCCCCTTTGACCCTCCTAATCAAGGTTTTTCAGCTAGGGTTTGTTTATCCATTTTAGGGCACGAGACGAAGTTCTACTGCTTGTTTTTCAGGGCAAGAGTAGGTTCAGTTGAAGGGGTTTCCTTTCTATTTTAGTGCAGGACGAAGTTCATTTTAAGGGCTTTACTCTACATTTTGAAAAACTCATTTGAAGAACTTTTATTCTGCATTTGAGGCAACGAATGGTTTATTGAGGGTTTTACTTTGGATTTTAGGGCAAGAGAAGGTTTGGTGGGGGTTTTCATGGATGCGAAGATGGCTATTGCTGGTTTTCTTCTGCTGCTGTTCTTGTGCAGTGGGGTCACCGTGCAATCTGATGCTTCGAATCACAAATACAAGCCTGGAGATCCCGTCCCTCTTTATGTCAACAAAGTAGGCCCATTTCATAATCCTAGGTACACTTCTTTCTCGATTCTATTGATTTTGATTCTGTGGTTTCTAGGGTTTTGATTTTTATTGATTGTTATTTGTTTTTGCTGCTGGATCTTTCGATTCCCTTATTTCTAAGACATTGAAATTAGGGTTTCACGTTTTGTTTGATTTTGTTTTGGGTATTTTTTCCATTTTTTTTTTCTTGATCTATGAGATTTAGTGTTTCATCCTGTTATTTTGAGAATATAAATGGTGGATGTGGTAGACATATTGTTTTAGTCATAGACATGTCGGTTTGGGTGAGTGAGGTCAAGGGTTCTAATCCTTGTGTCATTTTAGGTGTTTCATATTTTTCTTCACGTTGCTTTTCTTTTTTTGATAATTTCATATCGGTGTCCTACACTCAAGTATAATTATAGCAGTGGAGAATTACATTTCAAATACTTATGTTTTTTTATTTATGTATTTGGGTTTCACATGTTACTAAATGCTTTGATACGAGAAATATATTCGAATGAAAATCGAGTGAGCATCATATTTTTGACATTTTTAGCAGGAAATAGATTGTTCTATGCAAAAAATAAGAAAAAAGGATAGCCCTGCATTCAATTTTCTGATGATCATTATATGCTGAGTCTGGACTGGAAGATGTGGTCTCATAGTCCACTACTTAAATTTTTCTATGAGTTTATGTATCTAGAATTGCATTTTATTTTTTCTTTTGTTGATTTGCATCATATTATGGGTTTTGCATGTCTTGGATCTGATTTAATTTACCATTTCTTTAACTTGATTATATTCTTATTACTTGTTAATTTCCTGGTTTCAGTGAGACATACCGCTACTTTGATCTCCCCTTCTGTCCTCCAGGTCAGTATCTTGCATAATTATTTGGAAATTTTATAAAGGTGGTATAATTTCCTATGCTATATTTGTATCTGGTTGTTTTTTTTTTTTTTAACTTTTTTTTAGCTTTTTTACTTTTTCTTTGCTTATGTGTATTGATTGATCAATGTTTGCATGATCTTATGCAATCATTTTGGCATCTTGAATTCCAGCTCATTTGACTGAGAAAAAAGAAGCCCTTGGAGAAGTTCTAAATGGCGACCGTTTGGTTGAGGCTGCCTACAAACTTGACTTTCGGGTTGATAAAGATTCTGATGTTGTTTGTAAGAAGAGGTTATCAAGGGATGAAGTTGCTAGTTTTAGGAATGCAGTTATAAAGGATTATTATTTTCAGATGATTTATGATGACCTTCCTCTTTGGGGATTTGTTGGGAAGATTGAGAAGGATATCAAAGCGGATGTGCCGGAGTTTAGATACTTGCTTTATAAACACATCCATTTTGAAGCAATTTACAACAAGGACCGAATTATTGAGATAAGTGTTCAGGCCATTCAGGGTGAACCCAATCATTTAGTGGATGTCACTGAGGATAAGGGGATTGATCTTGAACTTACCTACTCTGTAAAATGGAAAGAAACAGATACCCCTTTTGAAAAGAGGATGGGGAAGTATTCGAAAACTTCGGCCTTACCCCACCATTTGGAGATACATTGGTTCTCAATTTTAAATTCGTGTGTTACTGTACTCCTCTTAACTGGGTTTTTAGCTACAATTCTCATGCGGGTCCTGAAGAATGACTTTGTCAAGTAAGGATCTCATTTGCTTATGTAGGTTTCTGTGCACGTGGATAAGCAATGCATTTGTTTTCTTGACTCTTTGTTTTCTGTGCTTTGTGTGACATGGAAGGTACTCCCATGATGAGGACGTGGCTGATGACCAAGAGGAGACTGGTTGGAAGTATATTCACGGGGATGTTTTTAGGTATCCGAAGCACAAGTCTTTGTTTGTTGCCATCCTTGGGTGTGGCACTCAACTTTTGGCACTGTAAGCTCATTTTCTGTAGTTAATTTTATTTAATGTTTCTTTCTCATACAATTATAAAAAATGTTTCTTTCTTCGTTCTTTCTTTGTTAATACTGAGTCTCTCTTCCACTCCCCCCTCACAGGGCCGGCAAGTGCACATACACCCATGGGCCCTGTGTAGACTTAGTGGAACTGTAGCATTGCCCTGACAAATTCCCCCTTATGCTTTTTCTTAATCATACACATTATTGGAGTGCTTGGTTTATCTATAATCATTTGGATTCATTGGTTTCCTGCCAGTGCAATGTTCATCTTTATCCTGTCTCTGGTTGGTGTGTTTTATCCATACAATAGAGGAGCGCTGTTCACTGCTCTTGTGGTCATTTATGCACTTACTTCCGGCATTGCAGGCTACACTGCAACATCTTTCTATTCTCAACTTGAGGGAACGAATTGGGTATGCATCTGTATTTGTGATATATGGCTTGTAATTTTATGTTCTTTTTATGGGGTCTTGATTTGCTTTTCTCTTGCTGGATATTACAGGTGAGGAACCTTTTGTTGACTGGATGCCTCTTTTGTGGGCCTTTGTTCCTAACATTTTGCTTCTTAAACACTGTTGCTATTGTGTATAGTGCCACTGCTGCACTTCCCTTTGGTACCATTGTTGTGATTGTTCTCATATGGTCTTTGGTGACATCTCCCTTACTTGTTTTGGGTGGGATTGCTGGTAAAAATAGCAAGGCTGAATTCCAAGCTCCTTGTCGCACTACAAAATATCCAAGAGAGATTCCTCCTTTGCCATGGTATCGAGGAACCATTCCTCAGATGGCTATGGCTGGATTTTTGCCGTTCAGTGCTATCTACATTGAGCTACACTACATATTTGCCAGCGTGTGGGGTCACAAGATTTACACCATATACAGCATCCTCTTTATAGTCTTCATCATTCTCATCATTGTCACGGCATTCATTACAGTAGCATTGACATACTTTCAGCTGGCTGCAGAAGACCATGAATGGTGGTGGAGGTAAGAGTATACCTTTCTACATTTTTACTGTTGTTTTTGGAATGCTCTTTATTGTGTTGGTATGCATTACCAATCCAACCATTTATACTTTCTTGAACTTTTAGTGTGATAAGCATAGCCTGCTGTTTTTGAGAAAGATATTACTGATATATGCTTGACATTTTCACTTCTTTTTTGTGCAATTTATTTACTAATGCCTTGCTACTTTTTGTTGATTCCATATATATTGTCTATTTATTCTCTAAGGTTATTTGATTAGAGGTCTCGTGTCTTTTGTAACAAGTGTGATTTCTCTTAGTCAGATTCTCTTACTTCTCTTGTTTTGTAAGTTTGCTGACACTTGTTACTGATATGTACGCTAACTAGATGCATTAATAGGCATCGCAATTTTCTTATTGAAGAAAAAAATACATGGTAAGCTCTTTGAATTATGCAGCTCTACGTATGTTTCATGTTTGGGTTACTTGACTGGCTGAATCAAACCAGAACTTTCTAAGGGAAATCTGGAAGTTGTCCTATGGTACAAGAACTTGCTTAAGCTCACCCCCATGTTAGCCGACTTGTTTTCAAATTTTTTAATTTGATGCTTTGCCCCCTTTTTTATGGCAGGCGCATTTCATATTTTTTCTGTACATAAATGATTCATCATTGGGTGCTTGTTAGTTGTTACGAGATTTGTATAATTCTGTACTTACTAAATAAATGGCTCATTCCATGGATGTTATTGGTTTCCTTGAGCCTTTTAAACACATTAACCATTGCATTTTCAATTTCTTGTGGTGGAGTGAGGTGCTCCTTATACTCAGCAAAGTGAGGTGCTCCTTATGCCTTTATAATGCCAGAGTTCTGGAATGACCAATATAACATGAAGGGTCCTTATTACCTGGACCCTGAGGAGAGTGTTTTCTTATATTTTTGTAGAATTTGGGCTGGATAGCACGTTGATACCAAATCTTTCACATCTATTTGATCTCTTAAAGCCCTAAAATGACTATTATGGTATGTTCCATGCATTATCAAAGATTTATAATACTGTTGAACACCTCTGCTATGAACCCATCTTAGGATTTCCCTTTTCAGTTTAACTGCTGAAGACTTTACAAGTAAACATTTTCAAGTCTTAAATACTAGCCTGCTCTTTCATTCTAAATGATTGGAAGGTGTAATTCCATTAGAATTCAGTATGTTATGTTAGTGTATTACTCTTTTTAGTAAAGAATATTTCTTATAGTGAATCAGGTAGGCTGGCTGGTAGGGTAGGGTAGTGGAGGGGAGGGGAGTGAGAGGGGAGTTGGGTGCTAGATGCGAATAAACAATATGAATTATTGTTGTGTAGAAAGTGTAATTATTGTTGTGTAGAAAGTATACATTGTCAGGGCATGCAATGTTTTCTCATGTTTCTCACTTAGGCAGCTCTTTTGCTACACCATGGTTTTATGGTGCTTTCTATTTAGGGTTTTACATTTAATTGCTGGACATCCAAATCATTAAGATTGCCTAAAGCTTCTCTAGTAGAAGTTGCAGTTGCACTCTCCTATTTTCTTCCTTTTCTAGAAAGACCATATTAACAATTTATTAAGACTTCCCCTTAAGGACCATGCTTGAGTTCCTTTTTGTGGGTTAGTGCATCTTAGACCAGTGCATTGTTGTATCGACAGCGATAAGCTTTAAGCTCCTTGTAAATTGATCATTCCTTTCTTCCATGAAGTCCTAGATTAGCTGGTCAATATCTCTCACTTGGCTACTTGAGGGTTTGCCTAAAGATGTTCAAGAACGTCTTTGCAGGAAGCCATTCATGGTACCTTTTTAGGCTAAAATCTCTTTCCATTACCCTACTCCTATATTCCAACTGTAAATATCTTGAGTTCTTTGTATCCTGCACAAATCGATTGTTAACTGCCTTGCTTAAACATACTTTTCCATCACAAAGCCTTGCTATCATGATACCTCCTGTCTAATGCCTTTGGGTTTGGAGCCAATTGAAGCCATACCTCTCCAAATGCGTACCTCACTCTCCCACTGATTTAAAAAATCAAAACCACTTTGAGGCTCTGAATTCTTTAGAATTTGTTCTTGTGGATCACTTTTGAGAAATTAATGACTGTCCATCTTCAGTTCACAACAACTTATCACTGTGAATAAATTGCAGGTCTTTGTTGTACGGGGGCTCGACTGGCTTTTTCATATTTGGTTACTGCTTGTATTACTACTACGTGCGATCAGATATGTCTGGATTCATGCAAACTTCCTTCTTTTTTGGGTACATGGCTTGCATCTGTTATGGTTTCTTTCTCATGCTTGGAACTGTGGGGTTCCGGGCTTCCTTGCTGTTTGTTCGCCACATATATCGCTCAATCAAGTGCGAATAGAATCATTCTCCACAATCCACCTCGTGTTTTTACTGAGGGGGCAGGTATTCTCCTTCCTTTTGCACCTCTTTTGTGTTCTTGCCATGTTTATAAATTGGGCATTCTTCTTTCATCGCTTTTGATAATTGGGTTGAAGTTTACCATGCGATAGTAGTTCATATTACATGATTCTCCGTTGGGAGATTAACCCCGGTGGAGATTAATAGTTGTAGGGCCCATTGGAGCATTCACCCAGGATTAGCTAATCTGGAATGGTCTGTGGATCTCTACGGTGTACCATGTAGCATACACCTTCAGTATATGACGTACGTTCTCTTAGTACATGTGGGGGTACTTCATTCTTATTCTACCTATTGTAGTTTCAGGAGAAGTTTTACACTTTTACCAGAAGCTGGGGTATTGACAATGCAAGCCCATTGGCAGATTGGGGAAGAAGAAGGGTTGTTATATGGTGAGAGAAATCCTCAGCTGTTTCCTGCGTCTTTTATCCGAGAAATTCGCAGCTTTCTTCCAACTTAGTTCTGTATTATATTAGGAAGTCTGTTATTTTTGCAATCACAAGGACTGTTATTTTATTGCTGGAGAACAATTTTCTTTACCCCTTGCCTTGTTATAGAGTATTTGTTTGTTTGAATGGTTCTGAATGAAATATTGGCCCCTTTCTACAATTTCTTGTGAAATCATTGTGAGATATTGGAGTGATATATGATGATATTGATCGCTTTCTACATTTTCCTATGAAATTATTGTGAGATATTGGAGTGATATATAATGATTTTGAGCATTTTGGACCTAAAATGTAAATGAAATGCAAATCAGTAGCAACCTCATAGAATCCCCAAAAATTAATTCAAATATAGGAGAAGGCATCATGACATGATCTCTTGTACTCGTACTCGCAATTGGACTATATACCAAAGAGTTATATAGTTGTACTCATATTTAAATAATCGACAGGGTTTTTGTGAACCCCTTCCAGCCTAGCAAAAAAGAACCATGCTAACGTGCATCTTTTTTCTTGCTTGCATTCGTTGGTTTGTTTTTTAACCTGTAGTTTTTTCGCATTTACATGCAATGCATTGCATCACATGTTTCAACAAGAAGGGCTTTTTTCTGTGTAAGTTCAGTCGTAAGCACAACTTCAACAGCCCAACCAAACCAAGTACGTAGTAAAGAGCCTTTCATGCTCTTGCCCAAAAGCGTGTTCAGTCCTTAGAGATTCGTTATTTCTTTTCTATTGCTTCACCTTGTTTTGTGGTTGATTGCCTGCTTCTATCATGGACTTCATAGCTACCAGTGGAAGACTTGTATCACGGCAAATTTAAATTTGAAATCCACAATGATGCGCATGCAATACTTGGTGCTTTTTTATCTGAGAAACCAGGTATGGGGTTCTTAAAATGTAAAAACTTTGAACTCCGAAGTTTGAGTTTGTTTTCGTTCAAAGCTCCTAAGGACCTTAAATCTAGGTGAATTATCACCCGTTGAAATAACAATCCAAATTCGATTAGATTTGGGCTTCTTTTTTCGGGCAAATGATATGGTGATCCCCCAATTTTGCATCAATTTTCATAGCATCCTCCTCCCTCGGAATTATTTCAAGCAGCACTAAGAACCCTTAAGAAGTATAGGAAAAAAATTATTTAAGGTTGCAACCTTGCACTCTTGAAGTTAGGTGCACCTAAACAAAATCTAGTACACACAAAATATTTAGAAGTCGGTGAACTTCCCAATTAATCATCTCTAAGTTGAGATGTATAAATATATAAAAAAAGTTCAGATTAATAGTTTATTTTGTAACAAGTTGAGAAGTATAAATATATAAAAAAAATTCAGATTAATAGTTTATTTTGTAACAAGTTATCATTTTTAATATTTTTTAAGTGTTTATAGATTTGTTTGGTATGTACTATTTTTGAAAATTTTAATTTTATAATTAAGGCTAAACATGAATTTTCATGTCATCGTAAAATTTTCGACATTAGAACTACTTCTTTTGGCGAAATTTAAAAGTGCTTTTACTTTTGGTTTTGGGTGAGTCGGTGGAGTGAGGGGCCTTTCCCTTAGTTGGAATTGAGCTTACGATATAGCGTTGCAAACGCTCAAGAGCTAACCAATTAAACCCGAGCTCTATTCCGAAGGTGCTTTTTACTTGTATAGTATAAAATGTAAAGTAGACAAATTATTCCCATGTTATCAAATTCATTCTTTGGCCGAAGCCTTCGGTTTTACCTAGCGAACCGATGGGAAGCGAATAATATTTCACAATTAAACTCCATAACCTCGAAATCTAGCATTTTACACTGAATTTTGTGTGTTTTGTGGGAAGAGATATATAGGGAAAAGATTTTCATACCTTTTATTTTTAGGTTTCATTTCACAATAGACTCAAGGGTTTAAAAGATATTTTAGGACATAAAACTTGTAGATTTTATTTCTTCTAACCTTTGAGCTAATTTAAATATGTTTTTTTAGGCGAAACAAATCTAAAAAGACATCTTTTCTAAAAGCCATCATCCCAAACTTCTAAAGAGAGAGAAAGGTTAAAAAATAGGTTTCAAGTGGTTAGGGGATTAGAAGATATGCTTTAAAATATTGAATTTATTAAAGAAAAAATGAAACATAAAAATATGAGTTATGAAGATATTTTCCCAAACGTTATAATATGGACCTGTGCCAATTGAGAATGTGAAAGGGTCAAGATGATAGGGATTGGACTTTGTACATATATGGATAATTTCAATGATGGCAAAGATTGATCTTTGAATCTTTTTACTATCCATGCTGAAAATTTGAAGTTGGGATTCAGACGAAATATTGAACCAAAGGTTTGAATATTTCAATGAGGTTTTCTTAAAGGGTTTGGTTTGCAACTTTAAATAATCCAATTAAACCGCATCTCCAAATTTTATCATAATATGTAATTTTTGGTGTAAAAACTTCTTAGGATTATCTGAAAATATATTTTTATCTCTTATTATAAAATTTTAAACTCTAAAAATAGTTAAAATCAAGTAGATCTATAAACAAATTAAAATCTTGTAGATCTAAATAGTATGTTGTAAGAGACAATTCGTGGGACTCAAAATCTTTTTTTTTTTTCATATTCATACATCTCTATGTAGAGATGATCAATTAGAAGGTTTTTCAACATTAAAACAACATTTTTAATGTATTTTTGAAGTACATCTTTGATTCTATATTTTAAAATTGCAACCATATATTAACTTTTTCCATATAATAATCCTACCCCTATCCCCACCGTCTTCTATATATTTTATCTCTAGACGAATGCCACAAAGAAGCTTTCTTATTCTTTTCAGGTCCACCTCTACAATTTCCCTCTCTCCGTCTCCGTCTCTTTCTTCCATAAATAAAAAGGAAAAAAATATACAAATAGATTATTTGTTTTTGATATAAGAAGGTCAAAATCATTTCTTATCCGTCTGATTACAATTAGGTAATTTTGAATAAGTCATCAAGTAAACTCAAAATTCAAATTTGTTTTTTTAGAAAAATCTCACACTTTATCACGTATCTTAACTATCTAATTTGACATTTAATGACTAAGAGCAATAGTCTAATAGTATAGATTTCCGACGTACACAAATTTCTCTCACTGTTCGTTTCCATGTATTTCATGCAATGGTTTAAAAACTGGATCGGTGACCCGGATCGGGCTTTTCAAAAATCGATCCGGATCGGCGAATCGGCGATCCGGATCGGCAAATCGGCGATCCGGATCGGAATCGGGT